TCAGCACATTGAGATTCTCTTATGCATCTTACCGTTCAATGAAGAAGCAAAAATCTAGAATCTAAGAAGCACACAATTTTGCCTCCTATAATAAGTAGAGCAAACTGCCAAAGTCAATCAAAGAAACAAGCTTTTGCCAAACCCCCTTAGATTCCTCAAAGAAGAGGTAAATTTCCAGTCGAAATTTTTATCTTTTTCTACAGCAAACTCAAACACTTGATCATACCATTACGATAATGGAAGCTAAAAACTCCCCAAAAAAATTCCCTTTTTTGCTTAAATCCACATACAAAAACATCAAAAAAGAAGAAAAATTATTCAAAACTTTGCAGTACAGTAACTATTATATTAAACTACCACAATAGTAAACTAACAAAGAAAAAGAAAGAAAAAAAAATGAGCATACCAAGCTTCTTCAGATGAATCACCATCACGATCATGATCGCCACCACCGTCGGCTTGTCTCATCAGCTCCTCGTACGAAGCAGCGAAGTCCAAGCCGTCAAATCCGCCGAAAACCTCGGCGTAGTTAAACCTCGGGTTCCGCACATCAAACATCACCTCGTCGCTGTCGTCCACCAAGGGAAGATCCAGCACCGGAATCGACGCTCCTCGAGACGCGTGAAATCCGCCGAAAATCTCGGTGTAGTCCTCGGGCCTGGGCGACAGAGTAGGACCACCGGCACCGAACCTCGGCGGGCCGCCGAATACGTCGTCGTACATGGTTTTTCCAGAGAAGTTGGTCGCGCCATTGCAAGTCGCTGTTCGCTTGGTGAGTGCAGCTTGAGAAGAACCCCTGTTTGGTTTCCGAGAATGCGAGAGATTTTCCATGAAAACAACGAGAGCTTCTAGGGTTCTACAATGAGAAGAAGCTTTCTTCCTTTTCTATTTTTTCAAAAATATATAAATATATTTATTTTTCGCCTGTGTGTTTTCTGTGTTTGCAAGAGTCTCTGGCGGACTGAAGAGAGAGAGTCGGAACGAGGACGACGAAAAGGCAAATATTAAAAAATAAATTAATAAAGGAAACTCCCGAAATGACGAAAACGGACTTCATGCATTACTTTATTTACTACTAATTTAAAATTGCTGTTAGAATTAAGTAAAAGCATCTATGTCGCGTTGTTGTACCACCCCGTGACTTTTTAAACGACGGACGCAGCCGGTAACCGGTGACAACGCGGGAAAATGGAAATAGTTGCGGCTAGGGTCACATTAAAAAATTACTAATTATTTTTACCTTTTAAATATCCTTATTTTAAAAAAGTTACCACAACATCGATTAATTCGAAATAGATAAATTATTTAATTAATTTTACATTTTTAAATAATTATCTTTTTGTTTATTTTACATTTATTTATGTAAGAAAGGATGAATTGTGGTTGAGAGGTTGCAAGCAAGGGTGTCCTATATTAGGTAACAAGATGGTGCTTCTAAGATTAGGAATGAGGTAAGAGTGAAGATGACGTGAGATAGAGTAATAGTAAGGGACAAACCCCAAACTGTTGTACTGTACAGAACTTGTTTGGAGGCATTGGGGCCTTTTTATTTTTCTTTTGGTTCTTTTGGCCTTATTATTGATTCCTTGGAGACTAGGGTGTGTGCATGAAATTTGATAAAATCCTTGTTGTAACTTGAAACCCTTTTTTCTTTGGCTTTTTCCTTGAAAATTATCCTAGTTTTGTATCCTTGGGTTTCTTTTAAATATTTTAAATATATATTTTTTCTTTTTCGGGTGGTTGAGAGTTGAACCCTTCAGGGAATTCAACAAAAGATATCATGATTTAGACATAGTTAAAGGAGGAGGAGGAGAAGGTTTGACGTGATGGGGGAATTAAGAGAGGGGGCCATGGCAAGTGTGAGGTGTGAAACAAGTATTGAGGTGAGATCAGCTGAATCACTTGGATTGAAAAACCAGCAAATCATTTGATGGTAACCCAAGATTTTCAACTCTCTTTTAAGTCTTAATTGTTAATATTCGGACATCTTATCCAGACAGAATTATCTTTGGTCCCCCTCCACAGCATAAGGTTTTTATATTATGTTTGATAATTTTCAAAGCGTCCAGCTGTCTTAGTTAAACCCCCTAATCATTCAATCCTTGCTCACGTTCTCTTCAGTTAGTTCCATCTGCTCTCTCATCTGGACAGGTATCAGTATTTGATTTAGTGAGAATTTGGGGTTCAAAAGGGAAGAAATGAGTAAAGAAGAAAGATGGTTGGGAATATAACTGTGAATCCAAGTGAGAGGTGAGAGGCTGAGCTAATCATTGGCCCCCAGTAGAAAGAATTATGGTTATGGTGCATGAAGATTAGCAGCTGGCAAACAAAGGAAGAGTTAAAGATGGGGGAAAACGTCCATAAAAGCGAGTAGATAAACATGCACATCTTCCTCTGGGGAAGGATCTGATAGCGACTGTAAGATTATTGCAGGCATCCAGGAGGGAAGAGGTAACTGTAACGCAAGTGGACGTGGTGGCCAACATTAAACAGTTGGTTTGGCTTTGGCCGCAACCCTGGTTCCAAAGCGGTCCAATTTATTTTTGAATTGGCTGACCTTGATTTTGACCTTGGCCAAAGTTTTCATAGCCCCATTTTTATTTGCATTAGTGCCTCTGGCTGTGGGTTTGGACCACCATGATCAGCTTTTTTGTTGCATCCGGTTCATGCACAGACAGGGTTCTCTTTCTTCTTTTTTTCAATAAAATCAATAGGGTTTATTATACTTAAAACCTTCTTGGGACAGAAAACTTTAAACTAAAATTATGACAGCAATGAAGACATGATTGCCAAGAGCCTATGAACAATGATTTACCCCCAACCATGGCTCCCTTGTTAAAAATCCTAATACTTTTGCATCATTTGTCCAAAATAAAAAGAGATGTAATCTAGGTTCTGTTCTTCTGGGGCATCCAAAATGCAAATTAGTTAAACAATTGACAGTATCTTCTTTTCGTTTCATTGCTTTGGCTTTTGTCCCCAGTATAGCCTGCCACTAGCCAAATATGTAAAGTAGCAGTGTTCTCACTTTGTCATAAACAAACCCACATTTCTCTTTATTTTTCCCTGGTTCAAAGATCCAAAGAAACCTCTGTTTATAAAAAATAAAGGCAAAGATTCAAAATGTTTGCAATCTTTTCAAGAATCCCAAGCTCCTGCCCTTGGGGGTTTCTAGTTATATAAAGACCAAGCTAAGCACCATGCCTGACAGTCCTTGCTTTGGGTGGGTGGTTTTTTTTTTTTTTGTCAACTGGTGAATTTGAAGAGAAAAAACGTTTAGAATTATTGAAATCCCAAGTTGGGTCCCCCCCCTGCCCTTTTTATTACCTCACACCAATTACCAATACCACAAAAGATGGCTGAATTTGGGCCCTTCATGCTGGCCACTTTTTGTCAGTCACACTATGAAAAAAAAAAAACAAAAAAGCCTGTCAAAATAAAGTCATCATTCTTGCACTTAAATTTGTTTTTGTTTAATCATGAATTTCTCATCATCAATACCCACTGCCTCATTATTAAGTTTAAAAGAGTAAGGAAAGCAAAAAAAAAAGAAAAAAATCCCATGAATGTAAGGACCATGGGTATGATCTTATGGCTATGATGCAACAGGAATAATTGGATCGAACAACTCGATTATTAGTCCTACATATAAAAAGATTGAAGTTGAAGGTTCGAACGTGATTAATTAAAAAACAAAAATAATACGTAGATTGAAATTATTATGGAACTCCCATGTTGTATTAAGCACAATAAAGTTGAGGATTGCTTGTTTAAGAAACAAAATATAGAAGCACAGTAGACGGGGATGTTGGTCCCACAAATCAGAGTTGCTGAGTGGTAGAGCATATTCTGATGGAGCAGGTTTTGAGACAAAATATCAAAAGGAAATGGTCATTGGTCAAGGACAAGAGCTACAGGTTTCGCCACAAGTTGCGGATTTGTTTTAGGAGTAAAATGGAAAAAGAAAAAGAACCCAACCAAGGCAACTACCGCGACCAAAGACGGACATAGATTGTGAGATTATGCTTCCTGTTTCGTGTAATTCTACGTTAGCATTCAGGGTCAACAATGGGTTTTGCTGGTTTGATTCTGGCACTGAAACACATGGGTTCTTGGACCAGGCTAAAGCTAGCTAGAGTTGGCCAAATTCATATTCGTTGTAACAAACATTCTTAGATGGCGACGTCTATGGCTTTTCAATTCATTTATTTCTTCAGCTTAGCTATTGTTCCCTGTTACCGGCTGGCTTAGCTTCATAAATTAAGAAAAGAAGTACTAGTGCTACAAAGTGGACAAACTAGCCTATGTTTATTTTCCTTTAGCTGGAAGCAAGCTGATTTTAATGGCGGAATCTGCTACGAAATCGAGAAAATCTGGAGGGCCAAGTGGTCGATGTCCTTCCAATAATTTGCCTTTCGGGTACACGCTTGTAAGTTTTCAAACCATGCAGACGAATTAATGAGATTGGGACTGTTGTTAGAAATCGTGAATGAATGAATGAATGAATGAGGGCTTCCATTTCTTACCCATGGAGTCAAGATATTCACTTTCTGAGGCCATCATGAAGTTAAAGAATGAAGGTGAAGCATCGTCCTCATTTTCATTTTGATCATTAATGATGGCCATTTGAAAGGGAGGGCAGGCCTGGCCGTGGTTGAGGGTGAAGCAATTATACATGCACCTCTTTGTAGAGCCCAGCCAGCCAGCCAGCCAGCCCCTCCCCTCAAGAACCTACTCGAGGAGCCCTCTACCTCGGTACTGGGGTTTAGAAACTCTGGACAGTGAGAGTGGGCTGGAATCATGGCTCAGACTATCAAGTTTGTTTGAGCGCAAATGGGCATTGGAGTTTCCTCCGTCGAGGTTGCCTCGGCCTTCGGGTAATCCGATCTATTTCCTAGGTGCGGAAGGCCTTGTCGGACAATTGTTTTTTTAACCAAAGGATTTGTCTTTTAAATATATACATATATATAATTAAGCTGCCTTAGGAACTTGCAGCGCACTTTGAAATAGCAGTTAGGACATTCTTTATTGCTGGTAAACATAAGCAAAGCAATTGAGGTCAAGTACAAATACACAAAACCACTTGGATGACTGTGCACATCCAAGATGTGGTTGCAAATTGAAGTTCAACTTCCAAAGCCAGCCAGAAGGATAAGCGGGAACCATGATTCAATTTTTAACACTTCAGCCACAGCGCCCCCAAAAATTATTGGAACTGAAAAGCAGCCATTCTCTGTAAATCCGCAGATAACAAAATATCCGGTGACAGTCAATCTCAAGAAAAGTAACCTAGAAAGGAATTATCAACTCCTAAGCTGTTTTTGGCACTTTATCAGCAAGAATGTTATCAGGAAGGATAAGCTCAGGAGGCATCTCACGAACAACCCCGAGCATTGAATCATATTCCTCATCACGTCGAGCAAATTTCTTGCGAAGCACCTTCTCAAACTCAATTTCGTCAAAGCCCTTTGCATTTTCTGCTGCATGAACTTGTGCTAAGTTGGAATAATTTAGGGCTGACCGGGAAATGAAGGCCATCTCTTCTTCTGTTAGCTTCCTTAGGAACTTGGCTGGATTACCTCCCCAAACCTGTAATTACGCACAAGTTTAGAACTTCAATGACTCTGGTTAAAACGTTTAGCACCTAAGAGAACGCCATTCTTATAAGAGTGCTTTTTGGCTAAAAGCCAGATCAACTCATTCCCCCAGGATTAATCTAAAATTTTTAACTGCGCAAGGACCATGACTAAAGCGGGTGGTTAATAGCAGTCACCAAGATTTCTTTTCAGTTTGGCAATAGCAGGTTTGTCTCCTCCAAAACACCAAAGAATATGTGCCATTCTTATTATCTGATATGCGAAAGGCAGGTTTGATCCAGCTTCCCTCTGAAGTGGTCTCTGGCTTTTACCATATGAGTCTAATCTATTGCTCCATTTTGTGTTCGCATTGACTACTAACTATTGTATCTATTCCACAAAGACCAGGTACACCTATTTCATATATCTGTAAACTTAAAACTTTGCATCTCACAAGAACAAACAACAAAGTTATGAAGTTCAATAGAACCAAAAAAGTTTTATGGCAAGACTAACACCCAATGTCAGTGAAGAAGTGTCCACAAACCTCTCCGCATGGGATCCTAGTGTTCTGCCTCACAAGAGCTCCAGCAGCAACCATGACATGCTTCTCAACATAAACTCCATCTAATAGGGTAGCCCCCATACCAACAAATGCTTCATCCTCAACAGTACATCCATGTAAAACAGCACTATGACCTGTCCAGTTATTATCAGTTTTCACTTTTTCAAGACACTAAAACCTCAGACAAGGACCACTTTCAAGGATAGCTCACTCACCCACAGTAACATTACTTCCAATAATAGTTGGTAAAACCTTCCCACTTAAGTTAGATTTTGCAACATGAACAAGGGAATTATCTTGTATATTTGTTCCAGACCCAATACTCACACTATTGACATCACCTGCACATCAACAGTCAGATTCAGCAAAGAACAGCCAGCATGGACATAGCATGCAACAAACACACACAGATGAGAGAGAAAGAACAATGACTCATAAACTTTAATAAGATCCAAACTGAGGACTTTTACACCAATCTCAATTTTCAATAGGAGCACCATCAAATGGAAGGAGCAAAAAGGGGCATGAATTTTTAATCTTTTTATTACTTTAAGAACTAGATAATTATTACCCTATGAGATTCATATTTCAATTTGTCATTAAATCAACAGAATCCGACATGTAGTGAGTTATAGGTTATGTTACTTTTAGTATAAAAACTAATGATAATGAACTCAGCTATTTTGGTCATTAATCAAGCAGAAAATAGTTTCATTATAAGTTTCTAACTGACTCCAGCCTCCTCATTCAAAAATTCTTAAATTCTATCCTTATACCACAAGATATTATAATTTTAACAAAAGCACTAAGATCACCATGTCATGCTAACACATTCCCCAGAGTCAGTGATCTCATGGTGACTATGTCATGTGGTAAAACGCATTCTTTCCTCTAACCACATAGTTGCTTTCACATATAAAACATCAAATTTTTTCTCAAAAGCCCTCATGGATCCTGATAGTAAAATGTTTTGTCTTTGAGAAGCCATATGTAAATATGATATCCCTTAAAAAAGAATATATGATTAAATTCTAAACAGTGTTGCATGCCTACCACCAAGTAACAAACATTCAGCTTCATTTTCCTATGACTGATACTGAGTTACCCACTATAAGCCTGCATTTCCAACCTAGGTTTCAGAACATGACTTGTTCAACTATAAAATCCTCAAAACCCTAAACTTGCGTAAAACAGACCAACACTAAATCTACAATATAAATGGAAGGTCTACCACTCATATAAACTAATCAAAAAAAGTAGACTGCTTACCTCTCAAAACACAACCATACCAGATAGACGAACCTCGTCCAACCTGAACATCGCCGATGATAGAAGCACTAGGTGCCACAAAGGCATCCCTATCAACAACAGGAACTTTGTTGAATACGTTCATCAGCGTCCGATGCCTCGACACTGAAGCAAACCAAATCCAACAATTAATACAGCTCGGGATTCAAAATCTACGCAAATGTAGTTTAGGTTTAAGAAAGTAATAGCTATTATGTTATGAATGATCGATTTGCAACTGAAAATGAAGTACAAATTCGTTGTGAAATCGATCCGATTATGAAATGATATGAAATTGAAAGAGAGGGAGTTGGAGTTAGGGAACGCACGCTGTTCTTGGAAGTAGTAGTTGCCTTGGAGGCGGCAACCAAGGCGATCGAGGGCTTGGCCGGTTTCTCGGATCCAGAATCCAACGGAGTAGATTGCTTTCCCCAATGTTCCCATCTTCTTCCGCTTCTTCTCCTTAATTTACTTCAGATTGACGGAGATAACTGATTTAACTGATATTTTATGAGAAGATTTGAGGGATTTAATTTTTGAGCTGAGAAAGCAAGGCTTTGAAAGTGGAAGAAAAATGAAGAGAGAGAGAGGGAGGACTATCCCCAGCGTCCGGCGACCATCTTCTCGTTCCCTACGGCCAATTGTCCTACAGTTTCTCCTTGTAACTCAATCACCTTCTCCCACGTGTTTCCTATAGTTTGGTCGGATGCAACATGTGGAAAACGTCGTCGTATTAATGCACGTTTATTGCTTTCCTACGTTGCTGTGCTTTTTTATATCTTCCCTTGCAAGAGAAAGAACTGATTTTTGTTTAAACGAAAATAGGTAATGAATTTACCGCAAAAAAAATTATTTTCCTTCAATATGAGAGTCATTATTAATTTATTTGTAAAGGGAGAGACATCCCCTTTTTTTTTTTTCGTTTTCTTGTGAAAAAAGAGAAGTCGAATATGATTATGAAACATGAAGTATGACTATCATTGACTTTCTTTTTTCTGGTTTTAAACGTACCATACTGAGAACAATCTAAATAGATCAAATATGTATCAAAAAGAAAAACCAACTGTCTAACATGTAAATATGTAAATTCAGCTTTCATACTCCTGCAAATGGCAAACCCCTACCGATCGTCCGTGAACCCAACCTGCCATAGTATCATCCCCAATTCACCAATATATTGATTACACAAAGGAAATCATTTGGAAACACAACTTAAAACTTGGAATCTTTCCCTTCCATGACCCGTAGACAATGCGTTACATGTTATTAAAAGGTACAATATATAAGCAGTGCAAATTCAAGGCACTATCAAAGCAGAAGCATTTGATAAGTCTCACAAAGTGAGGCATGCAACTAGAAGAAGTCTGTCCACCGTAATATTGTATCCAATCAGTAAAATGTTACAGCAATTCACTGCATAGTCGCAAAGACAATTACTTCCTTAAGCTTTCAACGATGTAAGATGCATATAGATCCCTGCAACATGGAAGTTACTAGTAAGACAACGATAATGATGGATAGATAACCAGAAACCTGCTCTTAAAGGTCATAGAACATCCAAAACAAGGTTGCAAAATCAAAATCAGAATGCACAATAATACTGATCTCAAACAAACTCACATGGAATACTTGATGGCTTGAATAGCAGTCTCAGCAGGGAGGAAGTCTTCTACATCAACGTGCTTGTTCTCATTCTTTTTGTCTGTTATTCATGATCAGTGAAGGATATACTAGCACACAGATTCGACAGTATAACTATTACCAAGCATTGCCAAGAGAAAGTCAATAGTGACAGCAATTTGAATAACTGACAAGCAAATATAAAATGCATGCAAGTGGATACAGTCCTCAAAGAAGCGACGGATTTCAGCCAGCCGATGAGGGGGAAGCTGTTTGATGTCAGTGTAATGACGGAACTCAGGATCATCAGCACAAACAGCAATAATCTTGTCATCCTTCTCACCCTGCAAAAAGGTATCAATATCAAATATGTCTGACAGAAAAGGAACAAGGGGAGAAGGAGGTCAAAATTTTGGAACTTGTGGAAAGATCAGGCAGAAGTAATAAAACTTAAAACATCACCAATCTTCATTCAATATTTATGACTTATCATGAACACTGATTTGGGACTCAACTCAAGCAAACAGAGAGCACAACCAATAGACAGAAGAAAAATGGTTTCAGGCAAATAGTAGTCCAACACAAAAAAATGGACAACATTCTTGGACAGTGGATTAAGGTTTTTGTTGCTTTCTCAACAGCCACAAGAGCATGTAAATATCCTATTCACGTAAACCAATGGTATGACGGGGAAGACAAAGCTTCCTACCTGATCAATCATGGGCATTAACCCAATCGCACGAGCACGAAGGAAAGAACCAGGTAACACCGGCTCCTATAAAAAACATATGAAAGAACCAGTTAATAAAGTTCAGCTGAAAGACTGAATAACCTAACATTATATTCATTGCGAAAGTCCATGAATCAAACAGACACTACCTGCATCAGTATCAGCACATCCATAGGATCACTATCTTCACAAATAGTCCTTGGGATAAAACCATAGTTGTGTGGGTAAACAACCGATGAGTACAGAACACGATCCACCTAATTTTAAGAGAATAATTTGTTACTTTCTTAAGCAACAAGTACCTAATATTTTCATTAAAGGAAAAGGCCACTGTCTTAGCAACAATTAAAAAAGTCTAAACAAAACAATAATCATAGGGCCACATCTGAACAGGTATGATGCAGCATTTTAAATATATTTCGTCATAAGTTTGATTGCAAGCATAAAAATCAGGACATTTCAACTTAGTTAAAAGGGGATATAAGTACATAAAATGAATCCATATAACAGTCGATTAGTTCCAAAGATGCTAGCCACTGATATAAGAGAAACATTGAATAAAATGACCCAGCTCTTTCTCAATTGTTATGAAAAACTAACTAATTAGAAAAATGAGAGCCTAAAAATTAGATGTGTGGTATTATTCACTTATACTCATCAAAAAATAACGCCAAAAATTCAACGATAAAATGCTCAATTAATTTTGAATTTTAAAGGAAAAATGGAGGAAGAAACTCTTACTTTTATAAGACCAGTGGCTTTGTCGAGCTCGTACTTGACCTTGCTACCTTTGCCGATTTCAACCACCTTGAGAAAAAAAATAAAATCAGAATTAAAGTACAATTCAACAACGAATCTCAGAACCAGGAACTTAAATTTTACTAACAGTTAATAAACTTTTAAAAAAAACTTACACAGTTAAAAACAGCTGGAGCACCAGGCCCTGCATCAATATATGAAGCATATTTTCAAGTAAGAATCTACCACGGAATCTACTACGAACAAGTGATTTTATTAATTAATAGAAAGGAAACGTATACCGATCTCCAAGTCATGCCAAGGATGAGCAGCAACAGACCTTCGAGTCATTGAAGAAAGGATTCTTTCGTTGAGGGCAACGCGAGGGAATCCAGCGCTCTTCCCGCTTTTTGCTTCTCCACTATTGTTTGCCATATTTCTTTCAATGCTCAAAAACTTCTTTATCAACCCAAAAACAAAACCAAAAATGCTCAAAATCATCCCAAAAAGATCACGATGAAGAAAATATAGAAATCAACGTATTCAAAGTTCAAAAAGCGAAAACTTACAGAAAACGAGAGAATCGGAGAGGAAGGTAAATTTGAAAATGATTTTGATTTTTTTGAGTGAAGGCCTTTTATATGGAAGGTGATAGAAAGAAGCGAGAAATGAGGGTGTATGGTACTTCTCTTTCTCTTCCCGCGGGCAGCGTTCAGCGGTCGGTCCACCCTAAACACGGAGCGTTGGATGGAAATAAAGGTCGAGATCCGACGGCTGTAAATACAGAAATGTCCGAGCTTGACTTTCTCTTTAAAATAAGGAGCTGATTCAGGTGAAGGACGAATCGTGGCGTTACACCTGTGCCGTTTGGGCGACAAGTATTATTTACAGTGCCCACATGGTATCCACTAAACTGGAGTTTTTAAAATGTTTAACGACGGTATTAACTTGTACACGTGGATATGCTGCTTGCTTTGTGATCAGGTCCTCCATAAGTTCCCCGATTGCACCATTTTTGCCGAAATTTTGTTTTGGAAATTTCGATAATCCAAGGAGAAGAAATTAATCGTGGTTATCAAATAATAAATAGGCAAATTCGAAGTATATATAATTGTATAAATTCTTTTTAAAATAATGTTGTTCCATTACTACCCTCATTTTTAAACATTTGATCACAAAATGAATCAGGACTTATCACAAATGATAAAAATAAAAAAAAATTATAAAAACAAAACATAAATATAATGTTTTTGTTAGAACACATAATTGAAAACAATAAACAGTTTCAATATGTATATCAATAGCACTGTTTTATAATTTTATTTGTCTTCACATATATATAAAAGATTACAAATAATAAATTTTAAAAATATAATAAAATATAATAATTAATTATATTTTACATTAACAAAACTAATCCATTAAGTATTTACTAATTCATTAAATATTTAGTGATATATGACAATATTATTAAACTTTTATATAATTTTACAACAATAAAATGATATAAAAAATCTAAAAAATATTTTTAAAGGAAGGAAAACTTGTTGTTAGTTGTTTTTGTATTTCTTTAAAATAAAAAAAAATTACCCAACAACACAGAAATGTTTATTTTAATAGTAATTATATTTTATTTCTTAAAATTTATCATTTTAGATTTCAATCTGACGCCTTTCAATTAACTATATAAAACAAATGTAAGAATCATCTTGAGCATATAGTGATTATTTACTTCCAATCAATTATCAGTGAAAAACATATGTATATTTATGAATATGACAAGCGACCCACAAATATTGGCTTTGTTACCCACCAATGCTCCATGTGATTATCTTTCTTTTTCCTCAACCTTTTGATGTGAGTGGCTACGAATTCTAAGATTGGGAATATTCTGTGCAGCTGAGGAGATAAAATGGCGGGATATCCTGTGGGCTGCATTTGTTTAACCTTTGAAGATTTCCTTCATTTCGGCTTTTATTGCTGCAAATTGAGCTGCTGCCATCCTTTGGGACGAATGTCAGAATCGCTGTTTCATTCATACTTCCGAAACCAAAACGCAGCAGCACTAGAGACACCACATCCAAGTTCTTTCACAAACTATTATTATGTGAAATCATGTTCATAATTTGGATTAAAGTTTTTTGAGACATAATTGATGGTTATTTTTTATTGACATAATACTCGAAAAAAATTTTAAATTAATAAAAAAATTTAAATAAATTCTTATTCTTTTATTATCTTCAATCAAATATTTATATTTTTATTTTAAATTAAATAAGTTATATTAATTAATAATTAATTAATTTTTATTAATTAAAATATTACTTATCATTTTATATTTACATGACATTGATGTGTTGTTGATGTAAAAGATAAAAAATATCATATGATCATATTATTATGTCATATTAACATGTTATATTATTATCGATTATAATATATCAACATGTCATATTATTATCATTAATTGTGACAGTTTAATCATAATATATAATGATAAATAACATCTTGATGATATAAACTATTAATTATAAGAGGTAATTTTGTTCAATATAAAAATATAAAGATTTATTTAATTTAAA